TGAATTACCGCTGTAACATGTATATTAATTCACAACTCAGCGGACACGACTTTTATGAACTTCTGTGAAACGAACCTTATATACCCCGACAAATAGATGTTTAAGTGCTTTTTTCTCAATGTACACATTTTCCAAATTGTAATAATAACGAAAATTTGCATTCGCTGTTCGTTCTTTGTTCATTCGTTCATTGTATATTCAGCTTTACACGTGATGTATCATTGTACAGAAATATCGAAATACACTTAGATAAATAAAAAGTATCTTAATAAAAAATATTTAATATTTCGATCATCGTAAAATATGAAGTTTTATACACAGAAAAAAATATTAGATTCAAATAAATTACCGCCATATTCCTTAATAAATTTTTATTTCGATTAAACAAATTTTATTTGATACAGGTGTATTTTATTTAATTTATAACAATTTATTATTTATTTAGAAGATATTTTTCTTGGATCAGGCAAATATTACTTCTAAGTAAAAAATATACTAAAAAGTAATAAAATAATTATTTACGTGAATCTAGCACTTTTTTGTGCTTATAATTCGCAAAATTTTACGAGAAAATTTGCGATTTATTTTTTCGAAATGACATACACATGTGATTTCGAATTACGGCACATGTTGCACGCGGTACATCGTTGTGTATCATTGTTCTACTCAATACGGGAGGGCTGTTTTGTTTTTTGTAAGCGCGCGATCGATCTCGATTGGACGAGATGCACCGGTTTTGTCATGCATTCGGCGGAAAACCCGATGCGGCTCGCAAACGACAGCTTGTGATTCCCTGGACACGATTTCAATTGGAAATCGCTGACGATCGCTGCGAGCCACATTCCCATGCGATGTAATTAGAAATGGCGTTGTAATGAAGCTGTCAATTATCCGGCGACGATGCAGCGCGTAGTTTCCGTTCCCGATTTGTCGCCACGCTGAAACGATCCCGACTGGCGACGAATGATCGATGGTCGTTAACATCGAACTTTACGGGCTCTTTCGAAGTACCGTTCTTTATAAATAATGGGGAAATCCTGATTTCTTTTTTTTATCGCAGGTGCTTATAGACGCCCGACGTTACTCTAAGTGAATAATGCTCTGTTTCAAAAAGTTTCACTTTAAATCCAACATTATTCTATATACTTCGGAATTGAATTTTTCTTCTGATAACAAGAACTATTGGTTAATTAATTAGTTAATTAATTGGTTTGTTAACTCGATTCTATGAGACGTTACTAATAAATAGTTGTGCGAGATTTCTTACTTTTTCAGAGAAAAATAATTTCGTGTGAGCAAATGTTACGCTGTCGTAGCAAATAAATGAATACGCAGGATGTTTCTTAAATACCGCCCAATATTAAGGAGTTGATTTTTGAGGTTATTTCATGAAGAAAAGCGCTCGCACAAAATACGTTCAATTCTTTATAAAGTGACCTCAAAAAACTCAACTCTTAAAATGGACGGCACTTAAGAAACACTTTGTAGACTCATTTATTGCTACAACAACAAAACGTTTGTCTTGAATGATTTTTCACCGTATGATTTGAGATACAAGACAGTATGTCTTATCTATATATTTTACAATCTATATATTTTTCTGCGCTCACGCGGAATATCGTTGGTTTTAAGACCCGAAACGGAAATTACGGATCCGATCGTAGCTATGAGAAACGTTCTTCTTTCGGGCCGAGCGTCCTCGAAACATCGGAAGCATCGGCCTACGTGTTTCGTCAGTGACGTTATTCACGGCCCGCTAAACGCTAAACTCGCCTGTGCGGCCGGTCGCGTTAAATTTACCGTGCATCGCGCGGCAAATCACGCGAGACGATATTCGCTCGCTAGAATCCAAGAGCGATATCGGCGCAATTCCGCTTTGTATCACTCGCGGCAGCGACCTTTTGCGGGCAGCCGAAGGATCCCGCGTATGCGTCGGGACCTTCGAGCTCGGCGATTTTTCACCGCGCACGTCCGCGCATCGTGGCTGAACGACGATGTTCCCGCAGCGGCGGAATACGCCGAGCGATACGCCGTCGCTTCCGTTAGATGTTTCGAGCTCGATGAGTTCGAAACGACGCGATAGTTCGACGCGATATCTCTCTCGTGCTCGTGATAACGTAAGCTCGCGGAAATTCCTCTCGCCTCTGCAATTTCGGCACGACTTTTCGAAATTCGTTTACCGGCGGTCTTTACAACTGTTTCTCGCGGCGGAGTTTATGCGCAAGGCGTGTAAGAGTCGACGGGCGACCCGCGGCGCGACACAGAAGCCGCCTCTATTATCGGGTCGCTGTGACGCGTGCGTATAATTTTGCCACTTTTCGCGATAACGTTAACACACCCCTATGTGGAGCAACGGCGACACACCCACGCCTTCTATCTTATCAAGGTCCTCCTCTCTATAATTAGCCGTATGTATCATTAATCTCTGACATTTAATTCTTACTTGCCGCCGTCGCGCGAGATACTAATTATACCGCGGACGAATCTGCTATCTCATATCGCGCGGTTATAAAAAGAAGCACACGTTTACATATTTCCATTTGGGCAAATTCTGACACGATTCGGATAACGCGGATCCGTTCCGCCTAGGCGGAACGATAACGTTAGCGGCTTATGTCTGTTTCCACCGTCATGATTTAAGTTTAATCGACGATTAACTCGATGGAATTGACCAGTCGCATCAGTTTGGCTAATTTCTTCGAGTCAATTGTCGATCAGATTTAGACTATGGTGGTGGAAACGGGCGTAATGGCACATCGCTGGGTTTCCTTGTAATGAATAAAAATACACGACGACTTCGTCGCATCAATTCAGTAACGAGATTCACGTTCCAAATACCTTTCCCAAAAAAGGAAAAGAGAAGGAAAAGTCTGCCAACGGTCACACATGAAATTCCATCCGTTCGCTCCTCTTCGCGCGTTGGAGCACAAAGACTCAAACACCGAGTCGTTTCGTCTTTTCCGATTCGGCCGCCGATCTTTCTCGTCGGTTCGTTTTCCGCATCCGCCGAGGACGAGCGTTCAGCCTAGGTCAGGCATTCGTGACGTTATGTGTGTCAAAGAACCAGTTCAACAACTAGGAACGATCGCGTACGACAGACCGCCTGTCGACGTCGGCTCGATGACGTCATGCGACGCTATTCTCGGCAACGCCAACGCATTTACCGCGGCTAAAAATAGAGACTGCGGTGCACGACCGAGCGCGCAAAATGCCGGCCTGGCCAATGAAATCGGTCGGTGCTGCCCGCCTCGCTGCAGTAATAACAATAACAGCAACAACGGTCGTTGCACGCTCTCGACTCCGTTCCCTGACCCGCGGCCCGACACACGAGAGTGCGGCCGTGCATGACGAACTTTCGGGGTGTAATGCGAAAACGCCCGCGCGGATTTCCCGGCGATTGACGAGGGTGATACATATATAGAGAGAAAAAGAGAGAGAGAGAGAGAAAAAGAGGAGGAAAAACATTTATTATTCGTTAATTAAACGTTTATTAAACGTTTATTATGTTCTATACAAAAAAATAGTCTTAAATCGACGATAGATATTCTCATACATAAGTAAGAACATATTATAATATTCTTAGGAGATTTTTAGTCTTGAATTGAGTACAAGTAATACTTATATCAATACAATTCAATCAAATTCAATTAAATCGAGACTAAATATTTTCTAAAAAGATTATAATATTCTTCCTTATATACGAGAATATCTATCTTATCATCATTGATTTAAGACTAATTTTGTGTGTAGGGCTGGTCCTTTAAGGACGTGAAGTTAGGAATCAGAGAGAAAAATTTGCAGAATGGTAAAGACATATATGATAAAAATATATATAACAATATATAATATATAATAATAATATGACTGATATATATTAATATATGAATAATAATAGATACATACATATACATATAGTGATTAAAGATAATTGAAAATTATTAGAAGAATAATAAAATAGATTAGAAAGCTGAATAATAATGGTTACATAATATTAATAATAACAATGATAATAATAATAATAATGACGGACGGCTCCTAAGTTAGTGTACATTTATATTTCATAAATTGAGTAGGGATTAAGAAGAGAGAGAGGGGGAGAATACACGGTACGTTTTGCGACACATATCATGGAATATTCGAGAGAATATAAAGTTACCCCGCTTCGCGAGATTCCGAACATTCGTTCGTTGCACGCGACGCGTTGTGTGTGTGTCTGTGTTGTATGCCTCGCGTTCCGGCGAATAAATATGCAAACGAGATCTCTCGCGCGATGAACGTGGCAAAAATATAGCGAAAGATATTAAATGGTATTTTGGGGCGGTGATTTTTCAGACGTTGCTCCTCTTACTAATGATATCTCTAAACACAGCAGTCGACGCATAAAGGTCGAAAGCTGCAACGATATAGTGGAGTATTAATTTCACGTTGCATCTCCGAGCCTCTCGCAAAGATGTTGTCCCGCTATATTTTCCGACACGGACGGAAATAGCTCCGACGGCTGTGCGTAAGATCAGACAGCGATTAAGGATAATTAATTGACTCGCGCGTGCACGCTCGACGACGTATGTACCGTTCTTTCCACACCGTTCGATTAGTCATGCGCGTTCGATGTCTAATAATACAACGGCGTTGATTGCCGGTCGATCCTTTAATCTCTAAATAGCCGGTGCTCTTTGGACAGCGGGTTTTCCCACGTAGGCGTAGAACGGCCGACGTGTGTATTCGACCTCGGCCGTTACACGGTCGTATCTTCCAAGCGCGCAAACGCTCGCGTCAACGCGAAAGATCGCAGGCCTTGTCGTGAGAAGTAACAACGATAACGTTTGTGCTGATACGAGCACAGTTTGCGCGGAAAGATACACGGAAGTTGGGCCGGTGTTATCGAATGCGACAGTCGAGCACAATTGCAAAGTTAGATCGCGTTATAGTATAGCATTGTAGCACCCACTGCGAGTTTGCGGGAGCAGTTAACAACAATATCGTCGTGTGTCTGCTTTCAGAGTTCGCGTTGAGTACTATGTGAACGAGAACACATTCAAGGAACGACTACAGCTGTACTTCATCAAGAATCAACGCTCGAGTGAGTAAAGACTCCCCGTATCCTGTCGGTCTTTCCCTCTCGGCTTTTTCCCTCCCCGCTCATGGAGAATTTGTAATATTTACGGCGCGAGAATGTCGAGGCGGCTAAAGGGCTTCACGAATTCGATCGTTAAAATTCTCAAACTGACGCAACGACCGAGATGAAGTATTTATCGCGTCGAAAATTGCCGAGGGATTCAACTGTATTTTTTTCCTCTCTTCTTTCCGCACGCCGGAAATTGACGGTAAAATTTAACAAAGCGTCGTTTGTTTTGCCTTCGTTTCGACGGGGGTTACATCCGTCGCGCTGAAAACCGACATCGAAAAAATTAGGAATATTCTCGAGAAAAATCGGCCGAGATGTATCTACCGAGATAAATCCGAGGGCTTAACCGTGTCGCTGCGGCGCGTTGTTATATTTCCGTTGAATTCATCCTCGCCGGAAACAGCCGGATCGTCGACGGTGCCGTTCTTCCGGCGTGCCGCAAAGCGCTCGCAATTGCTCCTTTTCGGGATAACGGTGTCGTTCCGAAGGCAATTTCCAGGCTATCGCAGCCCCCGTCGTCGTCGCGAGTATCCCGCGGCGCACAATCGCGCTCCTTCGCTTTCCTTCGCTCTCCCCTATCGCTGATGACGCAGCCGATAATAGATATTGTGCCACCACCGATTCCTCTCGCCGGCTTTGACCTTTGTACCTGACCTGTGCATTAGGACGTCGTGAACCCAACAGGTCAACGCTTTGTTGTCCTTTATGGAGTTTGTCGCGGGCAAATGGTTAAAGCATCTCGTTAAAGCCAACCCGTGCGATCGATACCCGTAAGCCGGCCTTCGATCTCAGTTCTCAGTGAATCCTTAGCGTATTATGTATTATGTAACTTTCAAGGGGCTTAATATAGCAACTGTGACATGGCTTTCGTTACCGCTACATAATCCATGTATTTGTCCCCACACTTGTCTATATGTGCTCGTTATCTTCGGTCGAGACGATATTTTCCACGGGGTTATTATATTTTTAACAAATTATATATAATATGATATTGTATTTTTGAGAAAGAAATATTTAATACGCGACCATCGGTGAAACGAAAAATAATAAATCCAAGGCCGCATCAGCAACACACAATGTCTACCGGAGAAAGAATTTGATGGCAATTATCAGGATTTGGTTAAGTAGTTTCAACTCAATTATTTGGTTACTATCAACCAAATCATTTAGTACATATACTGTATTGTAATATCATATATTATATACAGTAGATGGTAATAAATTATTTTTAATGCTGTAAGAGACATATTTTTTTTAGTAACTAGATACGGATACTGAAAAAGAAATGTAAGTAGATACAGCTATGAGTTTAACATAAATAAATAAATAACTAGATATAGATTAGTGAAAATATATTTAGATATATTTCATAAAGTATATATTTTCATAGTATCAATATCTAATTATTTACCTAAAATTTATATCTGTATTTCTATCTACTTGCATTTCTCTTTCAGTATCTGTATCTAATTACTTCAAAAAACGTATCTGTTACAACACTAATGATTTGGTTGTAATAACCAAACAATTCCGTTAAATCAAATTCTGACAATTGTTACCAAATCCTTCAATGTCGTTTACGTTGGCTACGTATTCGTGTTTCAGGCTTGAGGATACGACTCGCCAATCTCTTCTTCAAGCTGCTGACATGCTTCCTGTACATATTCAGGGTCATCACCGACAACGAACCAACGTTCGCGGCATGGTAAGTCACGTTTTAAATGCCCGAGTGAGTCCTTTTGTATGTTCATGAGAGGCCGGAAACGCGCGAGTGTCGCATCGAACTGCCGTCTGTTGCGCTCAGCAGCAGATCTCCCAAGTGGAAACTTAGATATCGAAGCGACGCTCTTCGCCCGACATTCTTCGATCATTCTCATTCTCGTCATTTTCGTTAACGAATTTCGTTAAAATGCATCGGGCACGCTCGAAAGATAAAAATCCTTGAAATAAGGACGAATCCCGGGTAATCCCGGAGACATACCGTATTTCAGCACGGCGCGCGAGAAAATCGCCGGCGACGTTGGAAACGCAGAAATTGCTTCATTTGCTTCCATTTCGTTTCGTCGTCGTCCACGGGACGATTTTCCGGAAAACTTTTATCTCCGGGGAAAAGAAACTCATTCTAACGCGCGCGAGCGGCGCAATATTCATGTACGATTACGATATTATGTAACGCTCCTATCACGGTCGAGAATAAAACGCGGATAAGGCGAGGAATACGATGCACTATCGTTGCTCCCTCGTTCGTGCGAGAGAGAGAGAAAGGTATTCAACGCGGAATTCTCGATTTCTCTCCTGTAAGATTTTCGTGGTGTACGGCTTATTGCAAATTTATGTCTCCCTCCCATTCCCATCCCCCGTTATCGCTACCGGTGGCGTTCATTTGTCGCGATTTCCGTCGGTAAATTTTCGTCCGCTCGATACACTGATAATGAAATTCCACGAGATCCGCGCGCACGCATCTCGTCGTCATGAAAGCGACATTTTTGAAAGGGCCATGGGTGAAATAGGCTGATTCCTGTCTAAAAAGTGTAACGTAAATTAAACATGTTACGTTTCTTAGGTAGCTGAATACGATGGGATTATCTTTATCCGTTTAAAACCAGAGGGAAATGTTCAAAATAAGTCATTTTTTAATTATATAAGTAATAGTATGGTTATAGTTGTATAAGTAGTAATATGATTATAGTGACGATTTTATTCCAATTATTTAATTATATATCATATTTATTTCACTATGTTAGATTTGATATTTTTAGTTTTCTTAATTTTCAGCGAAAAAAGTTATAAGATTACACTATAATCAACACAAGTAATTAAATAATTGGAGCAAAATCTTCACTAATTGCATTACTATTAAAAGTGACTCATTTCAAGCCCTTTAAGAATTTACAAATTTTGACTATTTTCTACCTAGTTTCATATAATGTACTGTACGCTGAAAAATCTATTTAGTTGAAACAGAATTTAAACAGAATTTAATTAGGATATACTCAAACAAATGATTTAGTTATAAGAATCAAAATTTGTTTCTTTGAACCAAAGGTTTGATTCTCTGAAACCAAGCTGTTTTCACTTTTGTCTCAGAGATCTGAACCTTTTCAGTTCAGTAAACCAAAATTTTAGTTTCTCACAATCAAAACATTTGCTCGAACATATTCTGACTAAATTTTGTTTGAATCAGCTAAATAGATTTTTCAGTGTAGTTCCGCGTGCACTGTATATACGGAACTAAATTATTTACTTGCAATAATCAAACATTTTATTGACATATATTAACTAAATTTTCATACTTGAATCCTCCTTTCAGTATAAGCAGAAATCAGCTCAATTTACCCATCGTCTTTTGTCTCATAATAAAAGAGCGCTCCTCATACGTCGTCCGCCGATTCGCCTCGCTCAGAATTCGCAGAGATCCTCTAATACTCATTGTAACTCCATTATCAAGTTTCCGATCGAAGTTCTCGGACTTGTTAAGGGAAAAGCTCCCAGTTCCTTGACGAGAAAGCGTCAGCGATGAGAACGGTGACCTCAGATATCTGTCTTTATTCCGTAACTGGATGCTTCGGTGAGGTAACCCTCGGCCAAGGTGTACATTTTCGGCGTGTACGATTTCCATCAGCGGTCGATGCGAGAAAGTTCAATGGAGGACACACGCGTTCCCGGCTGATATGATTACACGTGAACTTTCACGAGGGGAGTGTTCCTAGCTTTCTTATTTTCCGCGCCAGTTCAAGATGCTAATATATCCCGAACGTATCTCGAGCTCCCAAATGACGCACTCGATATCGAAAAGCTATCGAGAGTCCGTCGGGCGCGAATGTCGCGCGACAATCTGTCCTTTCCTATCAACGCTCTCATCTGTCACTTACGATTCTGCCTACCTGCCTACTTGTCTGCCTTCCTTCTTTCCTTCTTCCTTCCTTCCTTCCTTCTTGCCTACCTACCTACCTATTCTTTTTCTGTCTCTCTCCGCAGTTACGGTTGCACGCCCGGCAACAAGACCGAGTTCCTCGCGTCGCAGAATTTGACGGAGGAGGAGTTTCAGGAGCACCCGACGATCAACTGGGAAGCGATTCTCTGGGTCAGGAGGCCGCTGGAGCTGTGGGTGGTACAAGTGATTTTGGCGATGGTGTCGCTAACCGAAGCCCTGCTGCTCGCATATCTCGGTTACAAGGTACGCTACTCTTCTTTATCGCGAATAGTATTAGTATCTCATTTTTTCTTACACGACAGTGTTCGTTTATTCCGATTACTTTCAAGCCGGAACGTGCGCTCGTTACGTTATCGTCTTGATCGCGTTGGCTTCATGATTCGCGACGCGATCGAGGTAGCTCTCCGTCTTTATTCCGTAAATAGATGTCTCAATAAGAAAGTGAATAAAAAATCCAAATACATCTCTTCCTCGTTATAATATACAGAATTATATTATTTTCGATTTTTTTTCATAAACGCGCCGTCATGTTTCAATTTAAGGGGATGTTCTAACTTGTTGGGCAGAAAAGATCCTCGTTTTCAAGGATTTTTCTAGAAAAAAGTATTGAAGCAATTGAGATGCAACTTTTTTTATAAATGTTTATTGACTTTTGTAAATTACGATAGTGTTTTTTGTTATCGTAGACTATGCAGTGGATCGCATATAGATGGCGTTAAAGTGGAAACTGCACAGAGTACACCTCCATTTTACAGAAATGATTGAAAATTTCTAATTGATTTAAAACATAAAAGCAGAAATATTTTTTTAATTTATATGAGTTCGTACATCGGTTGAACTATAAACAATATTAAAAACTGAAAATTGACAAAATGGCAATCTTTCAGAGATTATAATGCGATTTGCTAAAATTCTATCCTTTTTTATGGTATTGAAACAAAACTATTGTAAATATCACTTTCATCGCAGTTCAGTCTGAAGAAATATATTTTTTATAAGTATGTCAAGTTTCAAAACGATATTTTTAGTAGTTTTTTTAATAATCATTTCCGCAAATTTGAAAAGTATAGTTTCGAGAAAAATGGGTTTAAAGTTTTACATTATATTATTTTATGGTTAACTATAGGTTTTTAATAACTTACACCTGATCAACTATTCAGGGACCATAAAGTATATCTTCTGTCTTTTCGAATAAATATTATTCCGTAATTTCATTTTTATAAACTATTATATAGCCTTTTGTGATTCATTCGATGCTCGATAACCTTCAATCATTCTGCGCTGCATTTTAACCGGCAAATACTTTGGCTTGAGGGCTAATTTTTATCTCCAAGACTTCCATGATTTTTAATGAAGTTTAATATCTTTCATTTAAAATACATGCTGCTAGAGAAATAGCAATTTCGATTATTTTCAACGACGAAAAAATATTTTTCGGGGCAAATTACCACACCATAGCGTTGTTATAAAAGAACATACAACATAAAAGAACATACAACATAATATTTATACATACAATATATATACATATATATGAAAGTAGTTGAAACAAAAGACAGCTATTCGTTTTAAGCCGAGATAGAGTATGCTGGAGCTACGTGCCGCTTCAATTTACTGCTTGTATCTCTGACAGATATTCGAATTTACATTTAAAACTTTACGAGTGTATTCTTAAGGTTTCAGACTTGTGAAAATATGAAAAAGGGAAAGTCGATTTTTCCAACCCAACAAAGTGGATATCCTTTTAAAATATTATTCTCATCAAATATGCATCCGGTATATGGTTCCGCAAATACAATAAACGCGATAACGCTCGCTTCGCCAGATTCGTCGTCCTGCAATTTCTCGAGCGATCGAATTAACAGATACGCATAAAACGAAGCTCGTCTTCGCAAACGAATCGAAGATCGAACATTGGCGTATAACCCGTTCTCGTTCAGCATGCACGATTTACAGGTCAATGATTTGTGTGTTTTGAGCCGATCGAATATGTTATATCGCGAGACCGATCTGCAGTGCTTCTCTCTCTCTCTCTCTCTCTCTTTCCTCGTCCCTCGCGAGCTGTTTACTTTCATGATTTATTCGCTCGGAAAGGAAAGTTCCGCCAACTCACCTCGAATTACACGACGGTTCCATACTCGAGAGCTCGGAGGTTCAAAGAAAATTAATCGGGAAAACGCCGCGACGTCTTTGATCGGTTAAATCTTGTCGGACGCGCTTTTTTAATTTCCCTTCCGCTTTGAGATTCGGAAATTCAATGGCAGTGCCGGTACACGCTACCGCGCGCACGAATGGCAAAATAAAACTCGCCCGTGCAGCTCGAGGAGACTTCTGTGTTTGTTTGATATTCGCCTCGGTCGTTCCGACGAAGAGGCAATTCGGCAAAATTTACGTGGGAAAACGTCATCCATGATAAAACATTTCGATTTTCATTCAGGGAATGAATTCTAAAATTCTTATCCGAAGATAATCGCGTCGAACATGTCGCTGCAATCCGTTACAGAAAACGATCTTGCCTGTAATCCCTTTATTGCAAGAATCAAAAGTCCTTCTTGGCTGAGCTTTTATCTCGTAAAATCCCGGAAACGATCCCAATCATCGAAGTCTCCAACGGGCGTGACGATTGTTCAAATCTCCGCATTGTGTGTTCGCGCGACGCCTTGTCATTTTATACACACAAGGTGAGTTATTATCATCTTAAATATCTTCGAAAAATAAAAATACTTTATTAACGACTAAATGAAGATAATAAAGCGTTACATTTACAGAAAGTGTTTGTAGTGATGATCGTTGGTATACTCGGAAAAAGAATTAGTCATAGGAGCTGAAAACTAGCTAAAATATGTCTTTGAAATAGAGACAGCAAATGTCGTTTTTACCACAATTAAATTTATTAACTGTTTGAATTTAGGCGCTATAGCGACAAATATTAATTCAATAATACGATAATATTAAAATCATATTCACATTCCTGACTAGAAATTTATTATTTTCTTTTAACTTTTTTAACAGAAACTATCTTTAAGATATTGGTGTATGTTGATCTTGCGTGAAACTTAGCCATTTACTTGATTTAATGTTACATCATATAAGAAAAACACGTTTTGCTAAGCATTAATGGACTCATATCCGAGATATCTAGATCGTGAGTTAATCACCTTAGGATTACATCATTTCATTAGTAGATATAAATGTGTTTCGTATTGTCTATATATATGTTATAATCAGAAAGAGAGAGGGGGGGGGGAGGAGAGAAAGAGAGAGAGAGAGAGAGAGAGAGAGAGAGAGCAGCTAAAACCAACTTTAGTTATTCATGCTAATAATTTCAACTAATAAAGCTGTTCCTCGTAGCAAATGCATTTTATCTCTAATGGCCAACTTCTAGCAATGACAGCAAAGTTTGAACTAGCTAATGAAATTTAACTGTTATTATTAAGTCATTTCTCTGAGTGTATCAATGCAATTTTTGCCACGTCAATTTTTTCTCCAGCACATTAAAATTTTTTTGTTATTTTAATATGAGGAATAATATGTTAAAAAGTACAATATGTTATATTGTGTTTATAGTCCATAGTTGTATTTAACAAATGTGTATTTTTTAACATATATGTTGCATTAACGTATTCACTTTGTAAAAGTAACGGAAAAATTGAGACAACAAACAAATATGTTACATTAACATATTCACTTTGTAAAAGTAACGGAAAAATTTAGATGGACCGTTTGTAACAAAATTTTTTACTGTGTACTCTCATATTTCGAAGATATTCAAGGTGATGATAGTTATTATTGCCTCACCCTGTGCATTTGCCGACGCTTTTATACTTAATTCGAAATACAAAACACGTTACGAATTATATTACTCGACGTTGTTGCGACACTTTCGTCGATACTTTCAAAGCACCGCTACAATCAAGAAGAAACTCTTGCGCGGGGCATCCCACTCTCATCCTCTCGACGCGACATATCGATAACTGCTACGAAAAAGCGATCGGGAATAAACGGAAATATCGCTGTTCCATTAAAAGCATCTTCGGATTTTCAACGAATACTCGACTCTGCGGTCACCGATGTTGCGGTTGCGACGCTGCGAATTGGCTGCAACAGCGCGTCACGCAAAATCGCATCAGACTCGGTCGCTTGTGGATTTAGCCGCGAGTTGCGCGGAGTGGTTTGATGTTGAAGCTGCTTTCGGAATCCGCTGGATTTCACGGACGGACGCGCCGCGCCGTAAATGTAAACGTGCGAGTTACGCACCGGCATTGGTCGTGCCACGTGTAATCGTACAGCTCCACCGTTCTCTGCGGAATGAGCGGGTTATTGCAATCCGACTCACAGCATTGAGGTAATACCACAGACCATTGGCCTTACGGAATAGCATACAAGAATATTTCGCTGCTTAATTACCTCCAGTTGATAAATTTGTAAGTAAAGAGTGTAGCTAATTGTGTATGGTCCCTAAATCCATTCAGTGAAACAGATGGTCGAAGTGGATACCAAATTAAAAATCTCGATGAGCTGAAAACAAATATATAGGTTAGCAGTTGACCCGGTTTTTCGTTACGGAAACAGAGTTCCAAAAGTTCCAAAAAGTCCAGATGGTTTTTGATTTATTAAAATATTATTAATATCATTTTATTTCATTTTATTATTATCATTTTACAAAATTTCTTTATAACTTGAAATTTGAAAAATAGCAAATATTTTATACAAAAAAAAACTATAAAAATAAAGTTTTTATTTTGCTATAAAAGGTATTAGAAACTAATAATGCAAGTCAGATATAGTAAATAAAATCCTAAGAAAGATCTGGTTAATAAAATTGTATAAAATAATAAGATAATACACTTTAAGATAATATACTAAAGTCCTAATATGTACCCAATTATTATAACTTTACAAAGGTCTTCTCTATTTATTTTTTATCAGTACATGATTAGGTTCACCATAGCTAGCATTACCTTGCACTCATCTAATTAGGACTTTATGCAATATCAGGTATGACAGTTTCTAGTCGGGTTATTATTATGTAACAGGTCTGAGAGCAAATTCGAGAAACGAAGTCGCTCTTGAGGATTCCGTGGATTTTTGTCGAGAGAAATTCGAACAAATCTCAACACGGCATTCCTTCGGCGACACAATTTCTCAAATTGCGCTCGTCGGCGCAACCGATCGATAAATCTTGGGAGCGGATATTAATCGCTACGGAGTTCTCGAAGTTTATCCGGTTATCGTCCGGGCGCAGTCCCTGCGGAGCTTTAAGCTTCCCGTCCGCGTCTCGATGAATGAAGAGAAAAAAAGCAGGGCAATCTCCCCCCCCCCCTCTCTCTCTCCCCGCGGAGGGTCTCCATTAAGAGATGCATCCTGATGCATCTCGCTCTTGGCATTTCCGCGAGCAGTTGCATCGCCAATTCTCTTTGGTGACGATCATAATTTTCGAAGGAAAATGAAAGCACAGGGATGGAAAGAATAGAGCGGAGAGCAGCTTGTTTGCATTCGAAAGGATCGAGGTATAATAATAGAGTCATAACGCGTTACACGAACGACGTCACGAGTGAAGTCGGGGACGGACTTCTCGAATGATTGTGAGCAGCACGTTAGAATCTTCTTTGAGGGAAGAAAGGGGGACGCGAAGATCCCGGCTCTCTCTCTCTCTCTCTCTGAGAGCCTCCATATTCCCTCCACGTGTACACAAATACAGTGGGCCTTGTGCTATTAAAGGCCAACACACGTCGAAAGGAAATCACCGGCGGACACGACCGGCGCGAGAGACTTATAAGATTCCCGAGGCTGTACGCGCGCCTTGCGCGCCCCGAGACGCCGCAGGCTTTGTCCACGTGTCTTGTCTACGACGTAGACGACGACAGTGATTGCGCCCGGAAGTTGATATATCCCGAAGTCAATATAGAAAGGAAGTTACACGAAGCGGATTAGCCGCGATGTGCGGGAAAATTGCTTTCCTTGTGATTTTGTCGTAAGCGCGTCGCGCTTTCACACGCATACGAAACGATGCAGGGCAAAACCGGTGTGCGATATTTACGCACGACATGCGGCTTCGTATGCCGTCTGCAATTACTTGCTCAAATTTAGCGTGCCGCGAAATATTCGCAGTGAGTTATTTTCGAAGGCGCGGCAAGGAAAACCGGGTCTGTCGCCGCGGAGGAGAAAAATGGATATGTATGAGAGAGCTGTATATAAATGAATTTATTTGATGGCCGCGCAGATTCGAAAGAATTCCTCCTCCCGGATATATCGGCGGATCTTGCGATCTTGTCGTTGGCCCCGCTGAAGTCGCGCAGGAGCCGCGCGGCTGCAAAGCGCGATACGTGTGATACACCGGCGGCTCTGGTCGGACACACTTTTCCCGAAAGAATTTCAACTCGCTTTAAAGCTAAGGTGAAAGATTTGCAGCGCCGAAGGTACGCGAGAGCCCTTCAAACCTGTAATTCGATCGAGCTTCCGCGTATATTGCGCCAAGATTTTCCGTTGCAAATTTTTGTCGCGTCACATGAGAAAGAAAGTCAGAGAGAGAGAGAGAGAGAGAGGGCCTCAGGAGGGGGAGAGGGAGGTAGAAATCGATGATCATTCAGGGTGCTCATGTGGCGTGTATATGCAGCGTCGTCAGCCTGATTACATCCGCGAGTCGCGCATCGTTCGAATGCGCTTTTAAAGCGCGTAATTTCGCCGCTCGAACTACTGGGGGTTCGACTTAATTTTAAGTATCTTCTTTTCTTTTAAATATCCTTCGTCTTATGGAGGTAATTAATGACGAACTCATCTCGTAATGCATATTCTCTCTCAAAATACAATCAGTGTATTATCATTAAAAAACAGTCAACAGTCATTACACGGTAAAAAATTTGGTGTTAAAAACAGTCCATTGAAATTCACGTGCGGAATATATTAAAAAGTACACAAATATATGTTACATTAACATGTTCACCTTGTTAAAGTAACAAAAATTTCAGTGAATTATTTTCAACATCAAATTTTTTACTATGTAGTGATCATAGTTATAAGTATAGCACTGTAAATTACTAAAATTTCTCTGAAAAATTCTATTTAAAATAGTAACTATTTCCATCGGAGAAATCAAATTGCAGAAACAGTGAAAAAAGATATTATTTATTACATCTTTTTTATTATCTTAATCTCACTCTTAAAGCATTGTCAATGATTTTTCCTAATATATTTTTATAATTATGCTTAATTGACTTAATTTATATCGTATTTGAAAAACATGTTTATCTTGACTCACTCGAAACCCCTAACTCTTGAGTCTGTTATCGTACGAATTACGCCAAATACGACGTATGATTGAATGCATATACGATAAGATGTGTAACAGATTTGCAATAAATTTTTCTAGCCAACATCAGTGAAGTATTAGACAAACAAGCTGAGAAAAGTTTCCAGTAAAAATTAATGAATACTCATTGATTATTGGTAGAACACTGTTTCTCTGATTCATTTAACGACTTTTTCACTGATTTAACTTAAGAGAATAAGACAACTGAACTTTATATTTTTATCTCAACTTTCATCTCTTGTCCCACATCTCTCACATCTGTCTATATTTCGCAGTATCAATATAATTATATTTATACAATATATTATTTCTATATAATAATGAATACTTTTATATTCAGACGACTTTTTGTGTTCAGGATGTCCCGAAACATTTTTAATAAATATTTTGTATAAATGTTCGAGGGAATCTTACGATCCGAGACTTAATATTCACGATAACTCACTAACTCGATGGAAGAATCCGAATAGTGTTCTTTCGAAAAGTTGTTTTGGCGGACAATGTGTTGCTTCAATGATAAAACGCAATTCGTTTCGCGAGCGAGAAAGATAGAGATAACATTTTGTAGTGCGCACAACAAACGAAGGATACTTTCCGTCCTAATTAAGCAGCTGTTTCCTGTGAATGGGAAACTTTTACTACCGGCACAAAGAGCCGTTAACGTCAAAAAGACGCATAATGTGATGAGAAGTCGCGGTCTCGGCAAAAATGTAATAATATGCGCGTCACGTTCTCGGCGAAGTACAAAGGACTCGCGCGCATTTAGTCAGCAATCCCAACGGCGACGACGTGAACAAGTTCTTTATCTGATTACGCTCGTATTAGCTCTTTTTCCGGCCAAAACTAATTACAATTAGCGCCGATGCGACGCAGCCAGCTTGCCTTGTCTTCTTCTTATTTTATGAAGCGACGCAGTATCTCGTATATATCTTGAAGTCACGCGAAATATGGTCCGTGATGACGAATGCGAACAGAAATCGTTTGAGAGGAACTGGTCGATAGCCGCATTTCTATTTCTGTTTCCCTCCATATTTAACTCTTTCCCTATCTATTTCCCTCTCTATTTCTCCCTGTGTATCTCAATTTCATTACCGCGCCTATATCTTTATTATATCCGCGGGGAAGATGCAGGATGGCGAAGCGCGGGTTTACTTTCGCGGCGGTTACTTTCGCAAACGTTCTTAACCGTTGATAAAATTGTCGCTGGGTGTGTTGAGCTATCCTCGTGATGTTCGCAGGGAAACGTCTGGCAGCAGCTTCTATCCTTCCACTTCATCCTGGAGCTTGTCAACACGATCCCGTTCACAATCACGGTAAGTCCTAAAGAGGATCATACTTTTTCATCTTTACTTTATACTTTTGTGCGTCCCCGTCGTGTCCAGCGTTCGTTTTAATTTTATAATGCGAAAGAATAGCCAATGGTGTAATTCTCGTCTCCGTGTCGCCGTAATACACTGTACGCTCGACTCTTACATTTCGTTCGGTTGCGTGCGGAAGACTGTCGGATCGCGCGTTGCCTCTTTTTTTTTCTCTAACAAAAATTAACGCATTATCGTGAAATTATGTGACGTACGACGTGTATTGCGATATGTGTGTACGATATAATTAGCGACCGATAACGCGGAAAACAGAAAGGAGGTGGAGACCGTGGAAAAAAAGGATGGAAAATAAAAGGGTTGAAATAATATGTGACGGGACACGTTCGCGTGAAAATATGAACGAACTTGACTCGCGACAAGTCGTGTATGCAGCCGACTATGATGTATCGATCTTTGCATGCCCCGTAAGGAATAACCTTTATCTCGCGGCGGACGGTACGTAACGACATTACGTGCACTCGGTATTGCGCTTTGAAATTTAATTAGCTTAACCTCATTAGTTTTGGATTATGCGGCGTTTGTGAAACGTGTATAAGGCGGCCGTGCGAGACGCCGATTTTACTCGCGTTCATACTCGCGTCTCTCTCTCCCTCATAATGACACCATGAAAGGCGCGTTCATTAAAGGACCGAGGTGGTGTCTTTCGAATTGAAAGAAGGGATTCGCACGGGCGGGCTCGTGTCGTAAAAGACAAACGTTGAGGAAATTTCCATGAGAGCGTCGTCGTCGGGAATTGTTTTCTCTCTCTCTCTCTCTCTGCCTTTTCCTCGATACGGTTTTATTTTATTTTCATAAGGAGCTCTCGAAAAGAAGTACGAAATTCGGTGTGCAAACCTGACCCGCATTCTCTGCCGTCGATCTTTGATGCTGGAAGGCAGGCAACAATGAACAAGCTCGGAGGGGATTCAGACTAAGCAGCCGCGCTCGTGTTTGCTCCGTAAATATCTGCGACCGGCTGATAACGGACGCGGCATTTACGGCCACCGCGCGCACCCGCGCGTGCGTCTTGCAAATGTCGGGCCGGACGCTTACCCCGCCTAATCAGTCAATTATTGAAATCCAAGATGAATCGGCCGGCCGACGAGATAAAAGTGGTCGCGCGATAAACGGTGTAATCCGGGATCGTTCGAAGGACCGTAAGCGCGCAATCGATATCGACGCAGTCGCGCTACACGTTTCATTACGGCCGGCACCGAGGCAATCCTGTTCTTTTTACTCCTTTTTACTCGGTCAAATATTTATCGACCACTTGATTATAAAGATTTCTTTTTTCACTTACCAGATGAACGGAAGGTAGGAAAATTATGAGTCTGGATTCTCTCTCTTAATTAGAAAAAAGATACAATCGTCTTTCCCCTTCGACTAAAAGCGCGTATCACGCGATCGAATCAAAATGTACGTCTTTTTTCTTTTTGTATTTTTTTTTATTCTTTGTTATTTCGAAAAAAATCGCTTACTATCTAAGGTACAATCAGTGTATTATCACTGAGAACAGTCAATAGTCACTAGTGATCATAGTTATAAGTGTGACGTTACAAATCAGTGTTACAAATCAGTAAAATTCCGTTGCAAAAGGCTGTTAATAGCAGCAACTGTTTTCATCGGAAAAATCTAACTGCAGAAACAGCCAAAAGAGATTATTTATTACTTCTTCTTTATTACCTTAGTTTCACTCTTAAAGTATTGTCAATGGACTTTGCCTGAAATATTCTTAATTATGTTTAATCGATTTAATTTATTTATACGTATTTGAAAGACCACGTTTATCCTGAGGAGACTTGAACTCGAAACCTTTAGACTTCGAGTCTGCTACTGACTATGTCAAATACGACACATGGTTGAGTCTATATGCGATATGTACATATGTATGTTTCTGCTACGCGATGTGTAACAGCGATTTGCAGTGAATCTTTCACCGGCCAAAATCAATGAAGTATTACACCAAAAAATTAAGTGGAAGAGTTTCCGTTAAAAATTAGTGAATACTCACTGATTATCGGTAGAGTACTGTTTTAATTATTCAATTAGTGACATTTTCACTGATTCAATTTAAGAGAGTAGATAAACATGTTTGATTTATAACGAATTCGATCATTACATCGGATTTAGTGCATTCTGAAGGCTGCTACACATCAAGTAACCACGGAAAAAATAAGCTACCGCAATTAAAAACTAGCTATCCAGATAATACAACTGAAATTTAGTTACCAGACCTAGTTAGCTGTGGGAGCTGATTCTTTTTTCCGTGTACGAATATAGTCATAAAAATTAGCTCCCATAACTAAAAGCTATGTCTGGTAAATAACCAAACGAAACTGGTAAACTAAATTTCAGTTGTATTATATGGATAACTAATTTTTAGCTGTGGGGGATAGTTTTTAGCTGTGGGAACTAATTCTTTTTTTCCGTGCAAATATACGTGCACAATAACATAAGTACGTTAACGATGAAATAATTAACGTATATTCTGTTGAATAACATGACAATGTCATTATTAGGTGTTTAATCGTTCAAATAGGCTTATATGTTTTTTCATCTAAATAACATATACAACAGCCTTCAGTATGCACCAATCCGGGTGATCGAATTTTCTATTAATTTTATAACATACTTGGGCGTGATCGAACCTATAAAACCTTAATTACGTTTTATAAGGCATTTTCATGTTAAGAAGCGCCGAGCGGAAGATCAATATGCATAATCGAAAATGTTGACGTTACATTTGCAGTTATTGTACCCACCGATGAGGAATCTATTCATCCCGGTATTCCTAAATTGCTGGTTGGCGAAGCACTCCTTGGAGAATATGTTTGTAAGTAGCCTTGTCCGAAGCGGCCATGCCGCCGTAACTCCTGCGTCCTGTTCAAACCTGGTGCGCATGGTCAACGGTGATCGGTAATCACATTGCAGAACGACCTGCATAGGGCGATGCAGAAGTCCCAGTCGGCGTTGAGTCAGCAGCTGATGATCCTTAGCGCTACGTTACTGTGCCTTGTCTTTACTAGGTGAGTATAATATCAATCGAGCCGAGCGCACCGCTCTTTTTCGCGTATTCATGCGAAAATCGCGATAAAGCGATTGTAAAGATATTAATAATAATTTTTATTAACGGGAATAATTCTCTAATATACAAAATGTCTAAATTTTAATATGGTTTCATGGAAGAAATCATCCTGATGATCTGAGATTAAATTCACAGTTATGCATAATCTACTTATGCTGGAATGTCGAATATAACATTCGATTCTGTAATACATGAAAAAGAGTGTACTGTTTAGAGTGATTTACTATTTTGATATCCTCCAGTATATTTGAGCAATCAATATATTGATAATGAGGAGATCGGATATCTTTCTCCTCTTTTACAAGGATAACATTAGTCTCTACAAAGATGTATCTGACGATCGTGTTGTTCGCGTTTCCTCGGATCCGCGCTCGTCCGAGCATCGAATTACACACGAGCGCAGTCAGACGAGAGGCGTCCGCAGTCTCGGAAGTGGAGACGTTAATTAAGATAGTTGCTCCGTCAAACATTTCTTCTTAGGAATCCTTTTAAACTTTAGTTACATATTGATGGAAATATTATCTATACGTCTATAAAGATTGATCATTCAGAAGCTGAGGTATTCGCAATTAAAGACGACACTTTCTATACGTATTCCTTGAGGTTAATGTCTTATTTTTAACTTCTATTTTTTAATTTCTTCTAAATTGTATTTAAGTTGATTTTAATGAAAAATTACGGATATTAAGGACTAACATAGAAACATTACTAATATACAAAAATTCAGAATTATTGACTATTTTGTTTAGAAAATATAGCCATAAGAAATTAAAAATTTGCAATAATATCCGCGATATATGTGCATATAAATATATATTTAAATATTTAAATACTATTTTCCATTATGTGCACTCTATCAATTTAATTGACGTATTAATAAAGTATTAATAAGAAAAATAAAGCAAATTATATTTATATATATATATATGTATATTTGTTTTAATTCCGCGCGCTTAAAATTAACATTTATTATTTAGATAATTAAACAAAATTGCAGGAAAATATCTTTTCCAATAAATAATAAATTTATGTAGGGCCCCTTAGTGTCGCCACTCCAGCAAAATCCGACATTCTACAGACCAATTATCTCAAAATAGCGTTAATCGAGAAACTATTCGCACACGCAGTCTGTAAATCGTGAGCATTTATAGACGAAACGCGCTGCGTATCGGCGATCTTTAAGGAAAGCGGCATTAAACTGACAACTAAGAGTGTCACCGGCTCTGCTCGCACGCGTGCGCGTGGAGACATTATTCCGCCCGCCTATGTTGTGTCGCCGTGCTTCGTAGATTGTTTGTCGAATCGCAGTCAACGTTTACCCATATTCGGCAGTTATGACTAAGTTTCTCGGACGGTATTGTTGTGGCCTGAACTTCGGCTAAGCCGGAGTAAATGTTTGGTGTACCGCAGACATCTAATTACCGAGGCTTTATTGCGCTGGTGAGAGCATATACAAGCATTGTCACGCTCGCATGCGACGGAGCCGCGCGTAGCTCGTGCACGCGCTTCCAGTCGCAAAATATTACGCGTTAATTGGCATTGAGTTTGCAAAGAGACGACGAACGCAACGATTAATCATTTTTTAACGCTAATGTCGCGGATTTTAATCTGTTCGTGCGGCGGATTACACCGCCCTTCGTTCGTAATCGCGGTAAAATTTGAGCGAAGCTAACGCAGACAAAACAGTCACGATGACGTCAAAATGACGAGATAACGATTGAATCATGATGAAAAAATGAGCTTTTTCTGGTCATTTTTTTATCACCTTGACATCGTCGCGATTTTCTGTTCTGATTCACGGGAATCCACAAGGGTTCCGCGAATTCCGTTTCGAGCAATTACGTGGACATAAATTTTTGTTCATTACTCCAACCGGGCTGATTTCCGGTATTAAGCGCACGCCGTTCCCCGAGCAGCTCGAAATGTCGCGAGGTTACGCGAGTGCTGTATAATTAACACAGGTAATTGCGTGAACAGTCTCGCCAAGTAAGGTCGCGTTGTTCGTCCTTTGGCCCACTTACTCCGTTCATCAAAGATACATTCCCGGCGCAAGTTTTAGCGAAAGTGAGTTCCTTTTCCCGAGAAGAACAAAGCCAAACGAAAGGCGACATCCCTGAACATGTGGTCGGCCGTCGCAGCGAGCAACGTCAAGCGAAGCAGCCGCGTTTAGCAATTTTGCAGTCCGAAAGAATAACTCATTCGATCCGCGTAGGTATGCGTAGGTATGCGTAAAACATGCGTGAATTTCAAACCATTCGTAAAGCGCGACATATTGTGCCGGCCGTGTTATGAAGTGTGAAAATTGTAAAAAGAAGCACATCGAAACGCGCTGTCGCTTAGAGGCACCAATACCGCCAAACAAATATTACGTTTTAACCGGCCGCAAATTCAATCGAGGCGGCGATATTAAATCGACATGTGTACACCGACGCAAATACCAATTTTGCGTTTCCGCATTTGTGATCGATAATAAAACATGGAGACGGCCGGCGCGGTCCGCTTCGTTATTAGAACGAACGAATTACGGCAATTGTCGCGCGCGGACGACCGTTTCGTATTTCTCTCTCTTTCTCTCCCTCCATATTGCCCTAGTTTATTCGATTTGTGTTCACATGTGTGTCTCGCATGAGAATCCCAGTCTATGTCGTGTTGCATAGCGCCATGTCGTGTCGTGTGCAAATTCCGGGCGAAATAATTAAAACACGTGAAATAATTCAAGTCATTATGCGGAAATGCGAAAACAAACGGTTGCCTTACTCATGCGTTCATCATCAGCACTATAGGAAAAATCTTATCACGTGGTACAGCAAGACCGGCGATTTGCGCGTTAATTTGACCGTACGATAATTTCGATATTTTGGAGAAAAACCCTCGTTAATTCTCGTATCCTGAGAACCGATAAATTCGCGTTCGAGGACTGACAAAGAGTAACTTGCGTTCGTTGCGTCGCTCGGCTCGGGATTGAATATCAGTCCCGGCGACACGAGTTCGCGAGGACACATATTCTTTTAGAGAGAAAGAATTAACCGTAAGAGCTAAAATTAACTATGTGATTGCTAAAATAGGAACAGCTAATGTCGTTTCTACCGCAGCTGATAAATTTAGCCTATTAAAAGTAAGATATATTTTCTGCACCACTGAAAAAAGACGTGGTAACATCTTTTTTTCAGTGTTGCAGACCATCAAGTCTGGGCCACAGTTATTAAATGTTGTGATGAAATAATTTGTACTAAATATTAGATGAATGTGATCAAATAATGTGGTGAATATTAACAAGTAACTTTAGCAAGGCTTGATATTTGTTACCAACGTAACTGTTTTATGTCGTACATAGAAAAAAATTAGTCTTAAATCAAGAATAGATATTCTCATGTATAAGTAAGAATATTAAATTTTTTTAGATGATTTTTAGTTTTAATTTGATTGAATTCGTATTGATGTGAATATTGCTTGAACTAGATTCAAGACTAAAAATTTTCTGCGAATATTATAATATTCTTGCTTATATATGAGAATATCTATCTTGTTAAAATTAATTTTTTTCCGTGTATATATCATCAAATTGTTTGTTAAATAAAATTATATTGTTTAGTAATATTTGCTACATTGTGTGGATAATATTAAAAATTATCAGATGATTTAGTAATAGTTTCCAAATACTTTGGTAAGTTATTTGGTAATTAATACAAAATTATTTGGCGTTAGTTACCAAACAATTTAATTGATTTAACTTCTTCAAGAATTTGTTTTACTAATTATTATGTGGTTATTATCAAACAGTTAATAACTATTAGTATACTTGATACTAATTATCAAATATTGCACTGAAGCGCTGAACCAAATGTATTTGTTAACTATTATGAGACTTTTTCTTTAGTGAAGTACGGAAAAAAGAACTCCATGGCTAAAAATTAACTATCCATATAATATAACTGAAATTTAGTTCAGTTATAATCAAAACATTTATTCCTATTATCACATCCAAATAAGAATTTAGTTTTAGTCGGTTAAACATTCAAGGAAAATGTTTTGCTGGTCCAACTAGAATTTTAAATGTCACGGATAAAATGTGTCGCTAGTTTTTGTATCTGCGAGAAAACTGTCTGTAGTATGTATAATTTACAGCAGCAGCACTCTAACAATATGTGCAGGAAAATTTAGATCCTGTCACTAATTTTTAATAAGAAGAAGAAGATTTAACTTAGCCTTATTCTGGATAAGTTCCACAGAGGAATTTTCTTGCTAAATTAAGCAAACAGTTCAGATAAAAATTCTGCCTCTCTCATCTATATGATTAAATACAACACATATGTGACATTGAAGTGTTTGCTAGTCATTTATTCATTTTAGCTAATTTTCTCGTATGAATGGGATTTTCAATGTAGGTCTGACAACTAATTTCAGTTGTGCAAATTTTAATTATATTATAATATGGATAGCTACTTTTTAGCTGTGGGAACTAATTCTTTCTTTCCGTGAGATTTAATTATATATATTCTTCACCGTAGCGTCTCAATTCAAGCAGCCGATAGATTTAGCCGGGGTAACAACGATATTAGTCGCCGTTATTTTAGCTTCTACATCTGATTCTTTTACCGAATGCGCGCTCTGTAAATCGCGAAACGATGTTCGCGGTGGCCCCGCGAGTTCCGCCGTGACACCGTCGCGATGAAGTTTCCGTCATGGTATTCGCGCGGCCGCGTCATTTAAGTTTATATAATGAACGTATTTCATTTGCCAGTGTGCGGGACTTATTGTATTATCCGAATAACGAGAAAAGTTTTCCGGTCGCAGTGGTGGGAGTTCCTATTTACGAATCCAGGCCGCGGATGACTGCAGTTCGTCTTGTTTAATCTTCTAATAACGCCGTATCTCGCGCCGTAAACGCCTTGAACGACGCGGTCTGGATCGCGGAAATGGACGAGAATCGCCGCGGCGGTT